TTGCARTCCCAGAAAAGTCTTGGAGAAACTYAATAGTTTTTCTGAACAATCTATCAAGAGATAAAATAATTACCTGCATATTCAGTGGAGCTGGYAGATATTTTTCCTAGTGGGAATCCATCTGTTCCTTAGACCTCTGCCCACCTTTCCTGAAAGCACTTATGTCTCTCTTAGAGGATCTCTATTTTTCTAAGTAGTTTTTAATATCCTTCCCCATAGAGTTTGTTTTTCTTTCTTTGTCCCAAATTGGTGTCTTCATTGCTGTTTTGAAGTCTGTATAAAACTGAATAAATTGGCTGCTGCTACAATTACTGCAGTGGACATCTCACTTGGAAATAGTCTGCCAATCTTCAGTATTCCCTGTGGACTGTGGAAGGTAACATGCATTCTAAAAATGGTGAGCACAAGGATGAAGGAGCAGAATATGTTTGGTTTATTTCTCTTGTCTCAGCCAAAAAATAAGAATTGAGATCAGTTGTTAACTGAAACTAGAGCCAGACTTTCCAGCAGCAAAGGGAGGAGGAGACAGTYCAGGGCTTAAAATGAATCCTTTCATGTGTGTTTCACAAGTTGTAGGCAAAATTTAATCKGGTACTMAGATGAAGCATTGCACTGCTTGTAYTAAATCTGCCWTATGTGGGAAAACCATATAGAATAAAGCTTTGAATATACCCACAYAGGGGAGGAAAAATCCCATAGGACATGAAGTTAACCTGACCTTTGAATTTCTGGRCCAAAGCCTGACTCCCAAAATCAGTCAAACTGGTACACAAACTGTAATGTTCTCCTTTGTTTTATTACYGGGGCTCCTAAATTAAATTATAGCCTCACAGCTTGTTGTTCCCTACTGTTTGTTCTTCATGCACACTGTTTATGTGCCATCATGATCTAGAGCTRTTTTTGGCACAGCATTAATCTTTTTGTAATGTGACCTTGCCTTGTTAATACTTCCTCTCAGAGAGTTTACGAGGGGCTCGTTGGCTTTGTGCTCTGAAGCGCTGACTGCAGCTCTCTGAACRTGCTGTCTGCCTGTCTGAGTGCGAGGGTTATGCCTGCATTTCTGGGGACCTGCTGAGCTTCAGGGATATTGTTTATGGTAGAGAGAGTGAAAAACTCCAGGCAGTGTAATCGGTCTGACAGCCACTTCCACRGTGTCTGTGGTATCACAAAGGAAAGTGCTGTCAAAACAGCAACTCCATGAGAGATATTAATGACAAGGTTCAGATGAATGGGGCTTTGAATATGGGCAGTCWGATGACTAAGGAGAGGCTGGGACACCTTTGCATTTGTCATGCCTGTGCMTGAACAGTGGTGGAGTTGGGGGGTGCTCCTTTGGAAATGCCAACATGAATGCAGTATTAATATTACAGTGAGATAAGTGATCTTGTTCAGACCTCCCACCACAAYGTGCCAAAATAGCTGTTTCTCAGCTTGCTGATGCTTTTTATGTTGCATTCAATTTCCCACTTGGTRCTTTGTCATTCCCATTTCAAGCTCGTAATTGTGCCCTTGGAGAAAGTCTGCCTCGGTTAATGAGAGTTGTTCCAATTTAGATAACAGAGGATTTTCTGTCAGAATTGACATACTGTATTTTAATAAAAAATCARTGAATGCTTCTAATCATGTTAATTATGAATGTGATCATGAAACACTTCGATATTACACAGTCAGATAGCAAAAGAAATCTGAAGATAGGTATAATCATTAAATTTCTGTAGTTGTAATGATTCTGGAATGTAAGCAAGGACAGTGCTGAGGGGCAAATKGTGCCTTGTCTTAAACTGATCAGTTGTAATTCGAAAAAGTCTGTGAGGAAATAGTACTCCACAGGCCTGCAAAGATCCACATCTTAAAAACTACACAAAATATCCTCAAGGTAGATATATAAATGCTGTTGTTGGACTTAGACTATGGATGGAACACTGCAGACTGAAAAGGGAACTAAAAATGCTCCCAGTCCTCAGGGAGCAGTTCAGCACTTCTTTGAAACCCACAGCTGTCCTCTGTGGCTGAAAAGTGCTTAGTGGTATTTGTGGACTGAAACACCCAAAATACAGATGGATTAGGACTGGAGTCTGCCATTTTAAATTTTTTCCCCTGTAATTTAAAGCAAAAGGTGAAAAAAAAAAACCCACTACATTGCAAGATCTAAACAGGTTTCAGATTCTGTGAGATGATCTTTGAGTTACATTATTTTTAAAAATATTGACTTTTTTATACCCATAGTTACCTCAAAGAGAAAAGTGACTAGCTTTTGTCTAAATGTTGATAAGCAGAATTTAAAAATCCAATTCTTGAAGAGCTTGGCAAGCAGTATGTCTGTGTATACAGACTGTATGTATTCTGTTTATGCTGCCGAAATCTGTATGGTAATTTCTGTACAGATGGATGAAGTCCTAAGAAGTGGTCCAGTGCAGTTAAGGGAGAAAATAACAAATGTTCCAAAATTGTTCTTTGCGACTCCACCATCTCGTGGCAGTCTGTGGTATTGCCTTAGAAAATAATCTAAAAACGAGTTTAAAATGTTGCATATRTGTATACTAATTGCGACCTGGGTTTCTAATCCCAGTTTATAAAATGCCTTTTTATACACTTGTAAATACAGCCTGTAGTTTGAGAAGAGCACTTCTACTGTTTCCTTCTTCCTCAGCATCCTGCCTTCCCCTTTCTCTCTCAGCTCTTCYGTGGTAGACCCACAGTTTTTGGCACTCAGCTAACATCTCACAGCGATAATCTATCAGTGCTTCACACTGAAAAAATAAAGCTTATAAATAGTGTTCATTTTCAGGGCTTCTGTCCCCTTCTTCAGCCTTTTTATCCTCCAGCTGCTGTGCCCTCTAGGAACAAGTATTCCACACACAGGACTGGTGTAAAATTATTCTTACATACTACATGAAACGTGATCCTGGCAGTACAAAGAAGAGAAGATATTACTGAGTGACATGTGTGCCATCTTCTAATTGTTCTTCAGTAATTTCTCTCACTTAACCTGTTTGATTCTCGTACTTTGGAAAGACCTCTCCAGTTTTATGCAAATTGACTCTGTGGGAAGGCTCTGTGGTTAAGTTCTTCAGTAAGATGTGAGGAATTCCCTTGTTTAAGTAACAGAAACAGTAAAAAATGTTTGAAAATAGTGCTGAATTGGGAATAGGTAGAACAGAAAGGTTAGAGGCTAGATCTGAGCTAACTTTTGAAATCCCATAAAAGAATACAATCATACCTACTTTCATGCTAGTAGTTGCCCRCATTTGTTTTATATGCATCCACAAAGTGTGGTGGGGTAAACACTTTTGAATTCAAGCCCTCAACAGAGGGTTGCAATCAATAGATTAGAATTTGAACTTTCTTTTAAAATGTGGGTTTGCGTTAGTGCTTTACAGGGTTTCTCCAGAAAACACTTTTTGGAATTTGAGCTGGAAATCATTCATGWTTGAATTAGAAATGTTTTCTCCAAATTCATTATGAGGAGTTGGGTGGTGGTGAACATTTAAATATATACAGTACTTCATCATCTCTCTTCTTCTGTTYTGACATATCATACCACATTACTCTAAGGTTGTTCCCACCACTCTTGTTAAGATTTAACTTTCTAAAAGCCATTACTGTTCTAACAGATTATTCCAAAATAATTATTAACATACCTCTAGCAAAGCTTAAGTGCATAAAATACCAATGGTACCCTTTGAGACACTGTGAGTTTGAAAAAATACTCTGTATGGGAAGTCTTCCAAAAAAAAAGAAAATGCATAATAATGCACATTGTAGGCATGTTGTGCATTTTCTGTTTCTTATTAATGAACCAAGCACAATTTAGTGTCTGTGTTTTTAATTTTTTCAGAAATCAGATAGCAGCTTGCAGTACAACTCTTTATCTGAACCAGGGAAWGCATGTAGAACATTCCAGTAAGGATTTGCATAAATGCCTGAGTAGCTAAACCCAGAGATGGAGTCAGACATAATGCTAGAGATTTCTTCATGCTAACTTGTGCCTGATATCCAATTTCTACTTATTTTCAGCTAAGTACTCCTAAGTTAACAGAGTGTAACTTTGCATACCACAGAAACATTTAATGAAGTGTGATTGCATGCTCTGAGCTTGTGATTTTGATCCTTCTCCCCACATTTTTACTTTCAGTGTGCCTGATAAACAGCTGAGGCTCCTACTAGCTATATCCAAAACAGCCCTTAATTTTCTGCAAATGCAGTTATGGGAAAGGACAAGCTATCAGGTCTTTGACTGTTGTCCCTGTGATGTTACCTGTTCTGCAAGCATTCAGACACTTTCTGTGCCTCAGCTTATTCGGTACAGGATAGAGCYAAAACTCATTTCCCAGGGATTTGARGTTCTGAGTRTAAAGTATATCCAGGCTTTCARTGTAAGAGTACAGCTAAAAGRCTGTCCCATTTTGTGGGAGCCCACAGGGAAAAGATACATGTCAGGGAGAGAGCTGTARTTCCAATAGTAGACTTCAACTGAACACGGGTGGTATAAATGGTTTCCTTTAAAACCTGCTTCCTGAATATTGATAACAGAGGAGGTGGTGATATAATGGAATTGAGACATGCTGGGCATGTTTTGGGAGCTGAGGCCATCTTTAGTAGGAGAATAATCCCTACTGTGTAAATGTAATGCCTGATTTCTGGCTCAGGTGAAAATGAAAAGCGTCGTTTAAAGATGAATTTTGCATGTCTGAAGGGAGTGCTTGTCAACAAGAGCCAGGATCTATCTCCTCAATAMCTTTGTCTGCAAATAGGGCCTTATGTGTAATTATTTATGGYAATAAATCAGCAGAGTTGACAGGCRTTTGCYTGTGGGTATCTTAAGTTCTTTGTAGGGGGAAAAAATCCTGACAAAAAACAGATTATAGATGGGATCTGTAAAGTATACTGCTKATGAGTAAAATATGGGGTGACAATGAAAAAGTGGCAGGTTTTAGCCTGTCAGTCTCGGAGTATCATCCTGATTCACAGTAATGACTTCTTGTCTCCCACCCCAACAGCAATACAGATGTGCACACKGTGGCTTCACTGCTTAAGCTGTACCTCAGGGAACTCCCAGAACCAGTCGTACCATACGCAAAATACGAAGATTTTCTTTCCTGTGCCAAAATGCTCAGCAAGGAGGAAGAAACGGTGAGTTGGTATCTTGAGTAAGATGAAATAAAAGGCTGTTCCAATTTTCAGGAGGAGAGAAACTGGTGATTGTCCTAATTKAAATGTGCATCTATTAACTGAAGCAGTTTTTTTATGAAAATTGTTGCCACCTGGGTTCTTTGGAAGTCTGAATAAAGGTGTTTAGCATAACCTWAGCTGTAGTTACTGCATGTCACTGAATCCAGTTTAAGTAAACATCATTGTAGTCAAACGCTTCCATTTTGCATGGAAGAGACTTAGATTTTCGTGGGTTAGATTCKGAAGGGTCTTGATGGTTGCTGTTCAAATCTTGCTGTTGAATCAGGAATCATTTATTAATCAGAATCTAGTATGGAYCAGAACTGGGTAAAATAACCAAGTGATTCCTCATAGGAAATTCCAGAACTGTTCTTGGAAGCCTTAGCATTGTTACCAGCAGGAGGAATGGAGCTGCTGGTCAAAAAAAAAGAGAGAGTGAAAGATAAAGAAAAGACATGATGAAACCAAGATACTTATTTTCTTTCTTTTTCCCAGTGCTAATCCTTGTTAACTAAATCCAGAATGCATTCTGCAAGCTGTTTCTGATAATAAGCTGTATTTAACCCTGCAGTTTCAGTGTTGTGTTTGTTGTGTTGTAACTGGAATTGTTGRCTTATTTTTTAATCTCTGGTAAAATATTAAAATACTCTGCCTAATGACTTTKCTTTTTCCTTAAACCACTTAAAGGGCCTGAAAGAACTGGTGAAGCAAGTGAAGAGCCTGCCAGCTGTCAATTACAATCTGCTGAAGTACATCTGTAGGTAAGTACTCTTGCAAGAATATCACAATGGTATTTTGTAAGTGTGAACTGACAGACCCGTCTATTTATGTGCCCTGAAGGAGAAATTTTACTCACATTTGGAAGACTGGTGAACTCAAGGCATTAAAACTGTAGGTTTACTGCAGTTTTTGCTCTGTCAAGATTGTGACCTTTCTTTCATAAGCAAGCAAGGAGTGCAAGAAATAAGTGAATGTATTCTCTCCACTTTATAGGACTCTATTTTTCCCATTTCTAACTGCAGTTACTGGCTTTGTTTGCATTTGAAATGCAATACTTGAACAATGGTTAAGAAACAATCACTTGCTTAGACTTCTTTTTTTTTTTTTTTTT